AAGGGATTGGCAATGGATCCAGGCAAGGTCCAAGCGGTACTGGAATGGAAGACACCGAAGACCAAGAAGGATGTGCAAGATTCCTGGGGTTTGGGAACTTCTATCGGAAGGTCATCAAGAACTTTGCCCACTTGATGGCGCCCATCACCGACTGCCTCAGCAGCAAGAAGAAATTTGTTTGGACGGCGGAGGCGGAGCGAGCATTTGAAGAACTGAAAAGGGCTTTCGCCTCGGAAGAACAACTTCTGCATGTGGATTTACGAAAACCCATGAGAGTGGAAACCGATGCGTCCGACCGGGCGGTAGGGGCGGTGCTTCTTCAACCGGGGAGGAGTACGTCGGAGTGGAGACCGTGTGCCTTCTTCTCGCGGAAGCTGAATAAATCCAAGAGGAACTACACGGTGTATGACAGGGAACTACTCGCCATTCACGAAGCCTTCCGGAGGTGGAGACATTTATTAATTGGGGCACAACACAAGGTGCAAGTGTGCACCGACCACAAGAATTTAGAGTATTGGAGAACGGCTCGAGTGCTCAACCAACGACAAGTGAGATGGGCACAGGAATTCTCCAAATTCCACTTTGAAATTTGTTATGTGCCAGGCCCAGAAAACGTCAGGGCGGACGCTCTCTCACGCAAACCAGAGTATTTGGAGGGGTAGGGGGCAATCGAAGAGAGACATGTCATCCCTGAGGACCGCTGGGTGTGTGGGGCGGCGCTGGTGGGGCAACGAGAACTGGTAGAGGAAACGGAAAATGATGAATATGCCCAGGATAAGCTCAGAGGTCTCAGGGGGGAGGGCGAGAGCCCCAGAGGTTTTGAGGAAAGAAATGGGGCATTGTATTACAAAGGGGCACTGTATATACCCGAATGTGAATTGAGGGGGAGAGTACTCAAGCAGTTGCACGATAGCCCCACGGCGGGACATTTTGGGCAACACAAGACCATGTGGTTGGTTACCAGGGAATTTTGGTGGCCCAAGGTGAGGGAAGATGTAAGGGAGTATGTAAGAGGGTGTGACCAATGTCAGCGAGCCAAAGGGGAAAGAAGGGCGCCGGCAGGGTTATTAGAACCATTACCCACGCCAGAACAGCCTTGGGAAGCGGTATCGATAGATTTTATGACGGATCTGCCGAAGTCCAAGGGGAAAACAGCCATCATGGTAGTAGTAGACCTGTTAACTAAGATGTGCCACTTTGTAGCATGCTCACATGCAGTCACAGCGGAATAAACCGCGAAGTTGTTTGTAGAACACATCTTTAGGTTGCACGGCGCCCCCTTGAGGGTGATCTCAGACAGGGGCAAACAATTTACTTCCAGGTTCTGGAGGAAGCTCATGAGCTTGCTGCACGTGGAAGTCAATTTTTCGACTGCCCGGCACCCTGAAACCAACGGGCAGGCGGAAAGAGCAAATGGCATCCTCCAACAATATCTGAGGTGTTATGTCAATGACAGAGAGAACGATTGGGTCGAAAAGTTGGCGCTGGCAGAATTTGCCTACAATAATGCGGAGAATGTGTCCACAGGGATGAGCCCCTTTTTGGCTAATTACGGGTGTCACCCCAGGGCATTTCCAGGGGATGGAGGGGAGAGATGGAGCGTCCCAGCGGCCGAACATTTTGTAGAAGAGATGGAAGCGATCCATCGTCAGCTCCAGCTCAACTTAGAAAGGGCCAAGGCACAATATAAGAAGCAGGCAGACAAGAACAGAAGGGAAGGTGAAACCATTAGGGTGGGGAATCAGGTGTGGCTGTCAACCCAAGGGTTGCCGTTCAAAGGGGGTTGTAAGAAATTGAGACCCAAAAGATTGGGACCCTTTGAGGTCATTCAGCAGGTCAACCCAGTGGCTTTCAAACTCCGGTTGCCCAACCACATGAAATTGCACCCAGTGTTCCACAGGTCGTTACTGTCACCGTACAGGGGGGGACGTGAAGGGGAGCACGCCAGGGAACCCGCCTTGGAAGAAAGGGAAAGCAGCAACCATGTAGCGGAAATCCTCGATTCCAGGTGGAAGGGAAATCAGGTGGAGTATTTGGTGTCGTGGGAAGGGGAACCGGAGTCAGAAAACACCTGGGTGACTGCAGGGGAGGTCAATGACGAGGTTTTAATAGAAACGTTCCACCAAAGATTCCCGAGGAAACCTCAGCCGGTAGCAAGGTTTAGGAGGGAGTATTTCGGCACCACCGACGAGGAAGAGGAATTGGAAGGATTCGCGGATTCGGAGTTGGAAGAGGGAATGGACTCCGATGACGAGGAGTACCGAGAGACCAGGGACAGCAACAAGTGGAGGGAAGTGTTCGAGACTTCGGAAGATGAGGGAGGTTCTTTCAGGGGTTTTACCTCCTCACCGCCCATAGGGGAGGAGACGGGAGGGGGTGAAGGGGGCCCTGGAGGGGAGGTGGATGTCAGGGAACTGCCATCGGAAGGACAGGAGGTGCAAAGGCTCACTGAGGTTGAGAGAGACGCAGCAGCTGAAGAGGGAACCAGTAGGGGGAGAGGAGGAACTCCAAGGGAAAGTGAGTCGGAGGGATGGCTCAGAGACGCTTCCAGCGAAAACAGTGGGGAGGTCTCAGGACCTCCTATAGGGACACCCACTCCTCGCCGGAAACTGTCACGCCGAGAGTCCAGAAGACGTGTTTCCGTTAAGGAGCTTTTATGTTGGAAACGATTCCGAAAGCAACCACTTTCGGATTCTGCTAGCGACTGACGCAGCCATGCCGGAGGGGCTCCGTCACAGGCAGAGGTTTGAAAACCTGATCAAACTCTGAGGGACTTGCATTTTACGCACAAGCAGCTCATCATCCCATCACACTTGCTGCCAGTAAACATTGCTTTGTACAGAGCAGATTGTCTGTGCTGCAGATCTTTAAAATATTTTAGATAACATACATAGCTTTGCAATTATTCTATTTTCCTGTGTGTTTAGAACTTCATAGATGTAACGGATACCTGTTCCTCCACGTTACTTTATCTAAATAGCTTTAAGCACCTGTGCTTTCAAATTTTTCACTGCTACCAATTCACAGATTATTTTTGAGACCTCCTAGTAGCTCGTGATGTAGGCTTAGGCATGAGATGGACACCAAGTAGAGTCAAGATTCGCTATTATGTATATTAGGGAATACTGATATTTACACTGGGATCTTGAAGGTGCTCGTTGACAGTTTGCGGAGACTCAAGATACACTGGCACTGACAGCAGTTTCTAAGTGGCTTTTATTTACCTGAGGCCAAATTCCTTAAACCTCCACCCCAGCCAAATTTTCCCACATCCCAGTCCAGCGGCTAGGGACAAACTGCCTCCAGATTGTACTTCTGGCTGCTTGGTTGATTTGGCTGACTTAAAAACCCTACATGTCTAACCTTCCTCTGCTAAGACTTTTCAGAGGCAGCCTCTCAGACTAACATCAGCTTCCATCTTATGATCTTTACCAGACAAGTATTAATATGACACTGGGTATTAATATTCTCTGGGGAGTTCTCTACACACCCTTCATCAACTCCTTTTATTACCACTCCTCAGCTGACCAATGTCAACTGTGTTCCTCACCGTCAGTTAACTCCCAACTGAGTAGGGCCTCCAGCCAGTCTGCTGTCACCCAGACCTATTAGACTGAATCTGCCTGTTCCAGGTAATAAATTGCCAAAGTGACGGTCTCTTTCTCCACTCCGAACTTTTCGCCAAGCAGTTATGGCCAGTGGTATAGTAGGCCTCAGACATGGACAAACACACAGGTCACATACTATTTTTTCCTTCAAACGTGAACATAAACAGACATTTATATAACATTTCCCTACAAGGCTTTATGCTTTTTCGGGTTAATTACATAAAGTGATGTTCCTGTAATTTTAAATATTAAATTTGGCATGGGGGAATTCAGATTCAAATCCTTGGAAAGTTGTGAAACTCGTTGCTATCTCTCTGCATAATCTACCTTGCAGGGTTATGGTGAGACTAAAATACCATGTGGAAAATAAGGAACTAACAATTAAAATACCATATGTCAAAACTTCTCAAAGAACATTTGCCGTTCATGACTTTTGTAGTCCAATTTACTGTTAATATATTCTACGCTAGTCTCTGCCCTCTTAATGGTTTATTGTGTGAAAACAGAAGGATCAGGCTTCTTGCTTTGAATATGAGCGATTTTTCATCTTTGTTTCAAAGTGGAGGTGAACCTGCTTTTTAATAAGAATGTTAATCTTGTAGGGGAAGTGTAAATGAGGATCTTGAGAATTACTACTGCTACTGCATCACCCTGCCCAGGCATGCTGGCTTGCCCTCCCAATTGAGTGGGCTGGTGCATGCATCCTTGAAAATTAGGGGGGGCCCTCTTAGATGGCACCCCCTGCCCCTCCCCCAAGTAGTTCAGGGTGGCATGCAGAGTCGTCCCCTACCCCTATCCTTGCATCAGCCCTGAGCCTTATGCCTGATTGGAGATTTGGACTTGCATCTCTTCAGTTTTAATACTCTAACCGCTAATCTGTATTGGCTCCAAGTAGAGTCCTGGGTCAGTTTGCACATAAGGCTAAGCCAAACCTAGAGCCACTTCCCTCTTTGCTGCTGTCCTGCAACCCATTATAGTCAAACCCGAGCTTATGGTTTGCCTTGCTCCAGAGATAATCATGAGCTGTAGCCAAGGTTTGTTCTATGACTTACTGCTCCTAGTTTGTCTGCGAAATGCAAACCACAAGCCTGGGTGTGGACACAGTACTAAGCCAAATTGTGGCTTAACTGGTTAGCACGACAGTAGCAGGACCAGGCGAGGAGCAAAGTAGCTGCAGTTTTTAGCATGAATACCGTCACACTTACCTGTTCATGTTAAGCCATGGTTAGGCTTAGCATTGCATGCAAACTCAGCCTATTTCTGAAGTAAATAACTTTGTGTATATGTATCCTTGTCTCACAAAATGTAACTTTGCTAGCACTCTGGAATGGGGGCAACTATCGCTTCTGTTTATAGAACATAATGTAATTGCTGTTCATTGGTTTCTTCTAGTGCCTTTCCCGTGATGCAGGTGGAAATCTTAGCATTCAGTTCCTTGGCACAGTGGTGAGTACTAATATCTGCTTTCTCTCTGTGTGTTTGTTTGTGGACTTTTTGTAATCAGTTTTATGCTTGTGAAGTGTTTAGAACCCAACTTGGCAATTCAGCAGCATATAAATTAAGAAATAACAGCAACACTAGGTTATTTTGAACCACCGTGAGACCTGTGGGTATAGGGCAGTATAATAATAAGAAGAATAAGAATAAGCATTTCTGAACCAATTAATGTTTTAAATATCTCTAAGCAGTGTACACTATGTACAGTATAAAAACAATATCCATTATAACGAAAATCCAACCTAAATTCAACCTTGTCATTCTGTGAATAAAATAGAAATTTACTTTTAATGCTACACACACACACACACACACACACACACACACACAGAAACTCATTGCGTGTTGGGCTTCCCTAACACAGCTCAACTGTTTATGCAGCTTGTTTGTTTTGAAACTGGAACCAACATGCTCAAAACATTATATCTGCAGAGTTGCATATTACATGCAAATGTATGTAACGAAATCCTGAAGGATGCTTCTGTGGAAAATCAACTTTGGAAAGAGGAAGTTCAGAGCCAGAGTAGAGGAGGATCAGCTTTAGTGGGGTTTGAAGTTCAAGGAAAGAAAATATTAGATTATATTAAGAAACCTGTTAAAGAGGATGAAACTTGATATGTGGGAACTTTAAAATGCAGTTGTTTGTAATTACATTTATAAACATCGAGGATGGGTGAGTGGGAAGTCATTAGTATTTTAAACAGGATTATAATTATTTAGTATTAAGATATCATTTTGACTCTTGAAACCAAATAAAATATTAATATCAAAGCTTTAGGCTTTACTCACCTGCTACTTTCCCCCTGCTGCCCTCCTCAAGGAAATCTTGAAGGTTGTTTGATGGGGAACATCTGGAATTACGCTGGAAGAATCAACTTTAGGGCAGATTCAGAGGGAAAGCAGCATGCAGGGAAAATACTAATCTCCCCTTTCCTTTTTCTCTGCACCCACATGATTGATTGTTGCTAAACTAACCATACACTTGTAAGTGTATATGTGCAACACAACTTTGTTGTATACACATTACAAAAACATACAAGTGCAGCTGCACATAATAAAATGAGTTTGCAGTATAATACTGTCAAAGTGCAGAAGCAAATATTCATATAGAGTTGAGAATACTTGGAAATGCTCTGTTCACAGCACAAATTTGCAAGTTGTTCAGAATTGTGTGTGCATTGATCATGAAATATTTATCTTGTTAAGGATTACATAAAACACGTAGTAGTCAGGTCCTCTTCTGGACTGCTGGGCATGCATAGTCGCCCCTACCCCTATCCTTGCATCAGCCCTGAGCCTTATGCCTGATTGGAGATTTGGACTTGCATCTCTTCAGTCTTAGTCCTCTTCTGGACTGCTGGGCCCTGGCAATTTGTACAGTGGTGCCTCGCAAGACGAAATTAATTCGTTCCGCAAGTTTTTTCTTCTTGCGAGTTTTTCGTCTTGCGATGCACGGTTTCCCATAGGAATGCATTGAAAATCAATTAATGCGTTCCAAGGGAAACCACCTTCAGACCAGGTCCGGGGACAGTCTCTCCCCCGACCTCTTCTGAAGGCTGGGGGGGGGAACAAGGGCTTCTGAAGGCTGGGGGGGGGGCTGGGGGGGAACAAGGGCTTCGCTGCCGACCCCCAGCATTTTAAAATCTCACCGGGACACGGGGAGATTTTAAAATGCTGGGGGTCGGCAGCGAACGCTTCGCTGATCCCGGGACGGCAGGCAGATCTGCACCGCCATCCAGAGCGGGGCGGGACTCAGCGCCCCGCTCGGGATGGCGGCACAGATCTGCCTGCTGTCCCGGGACGGCAGACAGCTCTGCGCTGGCATCCAGAGCGGGGCGGGACTTAGCGCCCCGCTCGGGATGGCGGCACAGATCTGCCTGCAGTCCCGGGACGGCAGACAGCTCTGCGCTGGCATCCAGAGCGGGGCGGGACTTAGCGCCCCGCTCGGGATGGCGGCACAGATCTGCCTGCAGTCCCGGGACGGCAGACAGCTCTGCGCTGGCATCCAGAGCGGGGCGGGACTTAGCGCCCCGCTTGGGATGGTGGCGCAGATCTGCCTGCAGTCCCGCGACTGCAGGCAGCTTTGCGCGGCCATCTGGAGCGGGGCGGGCTTCGCCCCCGGCTCCCGATGGCCACGCAGAGCTGCGCTGATCCCGGGACGGCAGACAGCACTGCGCCGCCATCCCGAGCGGGGCGGGACTTAGCGCCCCGCTCGGGATGGTGGCGCAGATCTGCCTGCAGTTCCCGCGACTGCAGGCAGCTTTGCGCGGCCATCTGGAGCGGGGCGGGACTTCTCTGCTGTCCCGGGGAGATTTTAAAATGCTGGGGGTCGGCAGCGAACGCTTCACTCCCGCCCGCCAGCATTTTAAGATCGCCCGGGGCAGCGGAGAAGTCTCCGCTGTCCCGGGAAGGCAGGCGGGGGGGAGCAAAGACTTTTGCCCCCCGCCGGCCTTCAGAAGAGGTCCAGGACCTCTTCTGAAGGCCGGCTATGGGCGAAAGTCTTTGCTCCCGACCGCCAGCAATTTAAAACAGGTCCCCGGAGATTTCCCTATGGGCTTTCGTCTTGCGAAGCAAGCCCATAGGGAAATTCGTCTTGCGAAGCGCCTCCGAAACAGAAAACCCTTTCGTCTTGCGGGTTTTCCGTCTTGCGAGGCATTCGTCTTGCGGGGTACCACTGTACTAGCTTCCCCCCACCCTCGTTGGCCCTGCAGCTATTCTCTAGTTGTAGCCATCAGATGATTGTTCACATATTCACACATTCATATATAGTTCTACCCAAAGACAGATTGGTTGGGAAGGAATTAAAAACATATCGTATGGTTTTAAAACTGTTGCGTTCTGCCATACTTAGGCATGTGGTATAATTTGAACCTCTCCAGACAGTGGAGGAGAAATGAATACCCTTGCCTCTTTTAAACAGGATTGTCATCACTGCAGCTTGACTTGTAGAAGAATATTCCTTTATATGGTTCTGAAGCTTAACCAGGGAGCTTAATGAAACAAAATAAAAATGAAATAGATAAACCTAATTTAAATCTCACAAAGTACATTTTAAATTAAGTTTTTATTGATAATAAATATACTTCATTTCTCATTATTCTTTTAAGCTTCAGTGATATCAGTAAAATAAACATGTTTTTACAAAGCTTTAGCATGAAGTATGCTATTAATATGACCCTTGGCACACCACCACAATTAGATTTCAAAGCAAGCATTTAAGATGTAACAGCGATTAATGACAACCATCGAAAACAATTTTGAACTCCATCAGTTTAACTCAGGAGGGTAAACTTAATATGATAATTTATCTAGTTGAATTGTATCAGCTTAGCAGGAAAGTATGCAAATGTGTGACCCTTACCTAGCATCTAAATGGCTGCTGTGCTGGTAAATTTATCAGTTCCATTAATGAACTTTGGGGAACTTTGGAATTTTCAGCTTTTGTACCCTTGGAGGCTGAAAACCAAACCTGATCTCATACTGGGACCATTCTGGTCTGCATATTTCCATAATTTGCTGCTGCTACTAATATGACAGCAAGACGCAAATAACTGTTTCTAATAATATCAGATGGAGTTGTAGAGGACAGCATTTTAATGTAGTAAAAGACCTCCCTGTGGGGTTGTTATTGCCACTATAGAACAGCAGTTACACAGTTGCAACAATAGTCTCTTAATTGATTCGTTTAATTAGCAAGAGATGAAGCTTGTGCTGCATCGTCATCTGAGATCATGGGGGATGATACACAAAGACTGTTTTTGACACACGGTTCTGTACACTTACCATGTATAGTGAATGAAAAGTTCCTAGCCCAATAGAGCAGTTGCTTTAAGATGTGCATAAGACCGTACAAAGTGTTCACCCTGCATAAATTGTCATTAAGACTATTAGACATCTTCAAAATCCTTGATGGAAATTCCAAATGGATCTGGTATTTATCTTAAATATGCAAATCTAAGATTTGTAGGGTTTGTGGATTATTTTGAAGCATCAGTGCATTTAGCAGTTCTCTTGATCTGGTCTTGGACAAATAAGGTCAGATTAATAAAACTGGCCATCTGCCTTGTGACTCTGTTCTAGTCGCATTGCTTCCTTCTCCCCCCTCCTTTCCTCCCTCTGGATATGAAATGCGTTTGACCACATTGTCCAGTGTGTGGCATGGGCCTAGTCAGAGATTGCTTTTGTACTTGGGTTTCCCTAGGGGCTCCTTATGAATTTAGTAATATATGATGTTTGCAACTGTAAAAGGAAGTAGATTTTGGCATGTAGAAAATATATGCAACTTTCATATTACTCCGCTTTTATTGTTTAAGATTGAAGTCCTTATTTTTAGGATAGACCAATGTTGCTAAATACACACTACCCTCAAATTCTACCTGGTTCTTTTTTATTTTTTAAATTTTTGCAAAGTGCTACTAATTATTCCTATTGCATCTGAAATGCCATTTTATTTTGGGAGACATTTTATTTCTATTTTTTTCAGAAATGCTTTTACACATATGGTCTGAGCGTGGAATATTTTTTATTCTGGAAACTTAGCATTTGTAAAAATGTGATCTCTGTGGTTCGTTTCACCTGAACTGTGATGATGATAGGAAAGAGGATAGGTCAGACCCATCTCTTTGCTGAATATTGGTCAGTGAAATTAGTAAAATTGGGTGTAATAATTCATTCCAGAAGTAAAGGAAAGGTAATTTCAGTAGTATTTTGACTATTTTTCTGAACTATGCAGTGCATACATATTTCTCCCTCTGTTTGTGTTTGGAATGGCCCTAAGACCATTAGCTGAATGCCAGTTAACTTTACCAGTTCAGTACTATGGTGAAGGAAATTTCAAGAAACAGACCATATATAAGGTTGAAGGGAAGGAATGGTCATTATTTGCCCACTTATTTCCTAAGTAAATGAAACAGCAGGCGCAAGGGTGGGGAATGTTACAGATACTGAAT